ATAAACAGCACATTTAGCTTGTAGTGTTAGTAACAATATGGGGGATTACACTTATAAACAGCTAAGCTAATTTGAAATACAAATATAGAAGAATGCGGCACCTTTATTAGTTCATTAAAAATAAAACAATCAATTTTTCATAGATTAAAAATCCAGGCATGCACCAGTAATTTGTGAACTATGCAGAAAAATTATACATTAATGTCCCAAAAATTCATGGCAAACAGTTTGCTGGGCACACCATGTGGTTGTAAATTTCCACTCAGTGACATATTAGTGACCATACACACTATTGTGGATAAAAGATAAAAGAGTTGACAGAAGTCTAGTGGACAACAAACTACTAAGGAGAAGGGAAAAATCTCACAGATAGAGGTTTCACAGGGAAATCTACCAAGCACAGTTAAAAACATTACTCGTTGGCCCAGTTGGGACTCAGGGAGAATTAATATAACCAGTCCAGTTATTTAAATTAGAAAATGATTTGAATCCATGCAAATTTAATTTAGCAAGTACAAGTTTTAGAGGCTAATTGTCAAATACAGTATACAAGTTTTTATAGACTGCAGCCCCTTTCAGTAGATGCATCTTGAGAACATCTGCAAAATAATACTTGCCAGCCTTTATGAACCCACAAGAGTCCTTGTTAGTCTTGAACTGGAATCGGGCATATCCTGCCTCCTTAGGCACTAATGACACTTCCTGTGAAAACAAGTTCAAAAGCAGCAGAAATGTATTTGATAAATGTATTTGATAAACAGCCGTGCAATTGGGCAGACTGAGGTGGTCGCCTCAGGCAGCATATTTTTACTTGCTTTACTAATATTATTTTTTTAATTGCCAGGAACAGAATGATGCATACGGAGTTTTCAGCCTCATGCCAAAAATAAAAAATAAAAAAATTTACTTTCCTAGGTTATAGTATATCAAACTAATATGCACCTTGACTTGGTCTGGAGGCACCATATGGTGTTTCATCTCAGTCAGCAAAATATTTTGAGGTGACTTTGTTGAGGAGGACTGGATAACTCCATTCTACACATTTGCTAATTGGACCATGTCTGCCCCCCTAAGGGGCAGCTGTGTTTTGTTTTCATTAAAGGATTGGAAATTGTTAGTGGTGTCATGATTACTTAATTTATGATTACTCAGAAACAAATATATCAGAAAGTCTTGTGGCACCTTAACACTTAGGAAGTTTTGTTTGGCATATGATATCAAGAACCGTAGCCTAACTTCATCATTAAGGTACCATGGCTACCCTAACAAATAAGTTGTAAATACTTCTGCATTTGTGCAGTCTCACTATAACAAGTTTGGATATATACAATCCATCTCACTGAAATCAAAGGGAGAAGTTGACAGTCATCACATAGGTAGCCAGGAGGTTTTAAAAAGTGGTGTTCCTGTGTTTTCAGTGTCATGCCTGTGGGTGGGACATAGGTTTTGATACTTCAAGGTTCACAGCCAGAATATGCCCATTATTATTTAGTTCAAAGTATAAAAGTTGAGAGTTAGGATTGAGTTTGGCTTCCCTCCATAGCGCTGTAACTGTGCATCCAAACAAACTCTAAGGAAAGGACTGAAGCCATGGATACTCAATCCGCTCTGTCCTGAATGCTGTACTGAAGTGAGCAGTGGGTTTTCTTAGGAGTGATATTGATTATAAGTATGCAGCCCCTAATGCAGTCTCTTCTTGTTGTTGTTTAGTCGTTTAGTCGTGTCCGACTCTTCGTGACCCCATGGACCAGAGCACGCCAGGCCCTCCTATCTTCCACCGCCTCCCGGAGGTCTGTCAATTTCATGTTGGTTGCTTCGCAGACACTGTCCAGCCATCTCATCCTCGGTCGTCCCCTTCTCCTCTTGCCGTCACACTTTCCTAACATCAAGGTCTTTTCCAAGGAGTCTTCTCTTCTCATCAGATGGCCAAAGTACTGGAGCCTCAGCTTCAGGATCTCTCCTTCCAGTGAGCACTCAGGGTTGATTTCCTTTAGAATTGATAGGTTTGTTCTCCTTGCAGTCCAGGGGACTCTCAAGAGCCTCCTCCAGCACCACAATTCAAAGGCATCAATTCTTTGGCGGTC